CTACTCACTACATATACGTTATAATACCTCATATTTTCTTATTTAATCCACTTTACTTGTGACACTTTAAGTACTTTAACTCTTAACTAAGTAATAAATCTAGAGTAATGCTGAAACCGTTTGAAATATACATAGTTGTGGCGCGGGTATTTTAAATGCGATCACAGATTCGATGTACGTTTGTTATTATTAGGTGTGTAGCGGTAAAACATATTTAAAGTCTATTTTAAACTAATGTGTAAATTTACTTTTTAAAAACAAATAAATGAAATAGAATAAATAATTAACTAAATAATGTATGATAATATGTTTTACAAATAACTAAATAAACTTGTACAAAAAGAGAATGTTACTTGATTTGAAAATCTTAGTCCCAATATAACGAAAGCAAAAGAAGAAAAAATCATTGATAATATAAAATCGACGAACCCGAGCGATGCAAGGGTGAGCCGCTAGTTGACTATAAAAATCGATGTTCTAATTGTGGACGGAACTGATAATAAAACCTCGGTTTGATTTGATGAAATAAATTTAGTCTCTGAATGGCGTCAAGTAATTCTTATTGATTGTGGCGATTAGTGAGATCTACCCATCCTCCAGGTCATACCTACCTATAGGTATCTTTTGATTTATTATTTTCCAAGTATATTTTTTCTAGTAAAGTGTTATAGGTAAAGATCGTAGGTATCGTAGGTAATAGGTATGTTATCGATAGATACCTACGAGAGCTTGACGATGACACGTGATTAGACCTGTGGGCAAAAGCTAGTTTTTAATATATATTTCATACTTGCATACATTTTAAAATACTATGTAGTACATACGTATTTACGAATAATGTAATTTTTCTAACTTTAAGATGTGGACTTTTTAATTTACTGACACTTAAGATTGATTCCCAAATAACAGATGTCCATTGCAATAGTTGGTGTCATAAACTAAAACGTATTTGCACTTGCGCAAAGATAAAAGTCGGGAATGATTTATAGGCAAGATATTTTATCTCAGTGCCACTTCTATGTAAAATTGGCGGAATAATTCTTTCTGACATATATCTAGTCGAATTTATGCAGTCGTATGTTTTAGAAGCATAATATATTATGATACAGGCTATTTCGTCCTTTTTTGTATTTAAAAATACCTTTTATAAATTAAAAAAAAATACCAACGTTACTCACTCTATGAATTTTATTAGGTTTTGATAACTTTCTTCTTCTTCTTCTTTCTTAGAAGGAAGAAATCGTGAGGTAACCTGCATGCCTTAGAGAACCTAACAGTTTTCGAAAGACATGTGAAGTCCGCCAACCCGCACTTGGTAAGCGTGGTGGACTATGGCCTGATCCCCCTCGTATTGAAGGGATGCCCGTGCCCAGCAGTGGGACGTTAAAAAAGGCTGAAGAATACTTTGTCGTTTACAGTCTTGACAGACTGGTCATGGTCATCATATAGGTCTTCTAACCCGCTCGACTATTTGCCTTCACTCCTCTCTATTATTTGCGATTTTATCACGGGAGAGTTTCTCTCTTGACCATGATTAATGACCGTGACCCGCGAAAAAACCCGAAAAGATAATTTTATTTTAAAATAAAAAAAAAACATTATACGCATTCGTACGACCCTTGAAATATAACTAACCTAATAAATGGTGGTATTGAAAGCGCTTACTAAGCCAGACCAATTACTGTACTTTATATATAATATGACATACATACGAGTATGTCGCAGGCATATTGTATAACTCGTCATTATAGAAAGGGTGCCGTCTATTTGCAAACACTCGCGAGGCTATGAAATGATTGCAAAATACTTCCGAAATTAATTCATTTTGCTGAAATGTTTAACCATGCCTTTACAATAAATGAAAGGTTATAAAATCGGCTATTTTTCGAAACTATCAGCTACTTTACACGGCGTTACGTTCGACATTGCATTTCTTCAAATTCAGGCTCAGTAACAGGTCCGATTTGTATTATATTAAGATTCGTCTTAGTTTAGCCTTCTCCTTCTCTTTTTCTCTTTAATTTAGAAACCTTTAGTACTCACAGTACTGTATTTCATAATGAACTATTTTACAGTTTGCCTTTTGTGCATTTTACAAACCTGCGGGCGTTTGCTTGCAGAAGGCGTTCTTTTTAAAATGATTAATCAAATGGTATGCCTGCGACACTTAGTATAAAAAGAATTAGGAATAAAAGACTCCCACACAACAGGGTCTTAAATTGTCTAACATCTAACATTTTTTCATATTTCTGAAAAAAATATATACCATATTTATATTCTGCTATTATAATAAAAAATCCACAGATCTCGTGTCTGCCACGACTTTAAGAGTACATTGAAAATGAATCTGCCAAATGAACTTAATTATATTTTTCACATATTATTAATTACTAGCAGAACAACCGATTTTGCAACAACAACATATTAAAGTACGGGTTCCTAATGGAAGTCAAAGAGTTAGAATAACAGAGAAATGAATAGTATGTTCCTACGTAATAGGGAAAAGACTTTAAAATGTTTTCCTAGGTTTGCTTATAAGAGCTGAAAATTAGGTACTAATTAGGCTCTTAGTGCATAAAAGCTCGACTTTGCGTGTCTAGATTCAAACCTACATCTTGACATGAATTCTACGTCCATTGTTACGCCTACTTCCTAGCTAAAACTGTGCCTACATTAAAACCGCTAAAAAGATTTTTGTATTTTACTAGAGGGGTAGATAGCAAATTATTTATGTAATTCGTGTTAACTTGGTTTTTTAATTTTTACTTACATTTTTTAACTATTATGGCACGAGCTTGGCTCTACGGCTGTCCCTAAAGTCTCATACATGCGTTATCGCCTAAGTTAGCATTTTAAGCATTATTATTTAATCTATGTTTAGATTAGTACATATTAATAAGCAGTTATTAAAATAAAATAATTAAATTAGTATCATTTAATACAATTAAATGATAATAATTAATTTTATTCTATATAATTATAATCTTAATGTTTAGTATAAATAAATAATATGCTACAACAGTTTCAGAAAAATCTGCAAGCATATTAATTTAATATGTAGATACCTCGTCGTATCGCCTCTACCGGTGACAGGAGAGGCTGCCGCTAGCAATCTTGCCACGAATCCACGCGGATATCACTTGTACAGTAATATGTAATTAAATGTACATATTTTGTATATAAAGGTAATTAAGTATATTAATCATTAATGTTATTTTATTTTTACATAAAAAATATATAAATATTAATTTTAGTTTTTTTTCCTTTTTATAAATTTTTTTTTGAGACTTCAATTTAGTATTAAGATACCAATTTATGAAGGCACCTATATACCTAATAGCAGAAGTAAAAATATCGTCAATATAATAATTTATAGTACTTTAAATATTATAATGTGTAAGGATTCACATTTTCTATACACTATCTTTGCCATGATCGTTGCATCCCTTTGATAGTGCTATTCTGCACGCCTTGCCAATTAGGTTAGGCGTTCGGTGGGCGTCAGCGAGGAGTATTTGCTATTATAATACAAGTATAATCATTGTTCAAACTGTAACACGTCTTAATTTTTGCCGTTAAATATTAACGCGTTTTGAATTTTACAATATAGTTACATTTAAAATCTAGTATATTAGATACATATAACTCAAATATATACCATCCATACTAATATTACATACATATGTGAAAGTAAGTGTGTTTGTTACCTTTTCATGCTTAAATTGCTGAACAGGTATGGATAAAATTTGGCATGGACATGGATTACATCCTGCAATCGGACATAGGCTACCCTTTATCGCCGCCCCGCTATCACGCGAGCGAAGCCACAGGTTAAAACTAGTATTTTACAAACTTAAGGACGACGATATGTATATAATAAATTGCATATTTTAAAGATTTTAGTTTACATCTTTGCAGAGAGAAAAAAGTCAGTACTTATTTAAATATACGTATATACGCATGATAAGCGGGGCGGCGATCAAGGGTACCTACGTATTCATTTTTAATCATCAGTCATCATTATCAAACTTATTCATTTTTAGGGTCCCATGTAAGAAAACTTTGTCCTTCTGTCTGTCTATAAACATTCTTTTTCTCAAGAACGCATAAAGGGATCATGTTGACATAAAAATAACTTAGGTCTACGGTCCCTAGAAGCTGTAAAAATAAACTTCTAAATCCACATAATAAAAAATATGGCTAATAAGCTGTATATTACAATACTCCCTTAATGTTCGCTAGCTCTATAAATTAAATGTTTGAATAATTAGGCAAAACACTTACCATCTCAGTAACAAAATACAATATATGCCTTTTATTTTTAGATTTTAGAAAATTCCAGAAACTTAATATTTTACCAAGCTTCAGTTCTTCATATACCAAGGCAAGCGACATGATTTATTACATAAACATCCACATTCCTTAGTCCTGCGTAACTGTCTTTATCGGCGTCCTTTTTACCGTATTGTTTTTACTTTACAATACAATACTAACAATGGGGCAACGTGGTTTTCTATGCGCGTACGCTCCACAAAATTACGAGAGCATTTGCATGATTATCGAAACTTCCGAAAATAAATGCTATTTGATTCTGAATCTTATGTGTATCATATTAAGGTGGTATTGAATGGACGGAGGTGGTAAATAAAAGTTTGTCGAAAGCGCGTTTCGGTGCGGTGCACATAGACTCGGCAGTCGCGATCCCATCGAGTGTGGTTCCGGTAGGGTCGATCACCGGGTTTAGTGTATGCCTTACGTTATTACGAAGTTCACTCGTGTATATAGCACGTCGAAAACTTTTTAATTTTTTATTCAGTTTTAAAATAAATTAAAAAAATATTGGCAGTGTATATTAAGGTCTTGGACTAATAAATTATTGTGAATTGACTCTAATTATGAAAGCAAAATTAACATTAGCGCGCCAATATTTGGCGGTAATTAAATGAACAACAGTTCTAGTTTTAGTGTTTCATTGGGAATTAATGCGAGAAATTTTGAAAATGAAGATGAATTACAATTCTTATTGGAAATTTATGTTTGTGTTCCTGCCCTTCGTAGGTAAGTGGTATATTGTTTTGTTTACATTTTCAAAAAAAAATTTTTATAAGCTAGCCGTGGTATTATAATATCCATTTTATTTTAATGCCTAAAACTTTATCTCAAAAAAAAATGAAATATACTTTATAAACACCATATTTTTATGATAGATAGAGCTTATTAATACAAATAGAGTAGCAAAATTATATAAAAAAACTTAATTATGTGATATTTGCGAGCATAATACATTTTTTTTTGTTTGAGTTAAATGTCTAATTAACTTACCAATTTAAATTAAGTTAGAAATATTCTACAATAATGTAGTTATTTTTATCATTTAATTTGGCTTCCTTATCAATTAGCTTGTAAAATGTCGCGTTTCCTGAAACATTAGTCATTATTCTTTAACTGTAACCAGACGATGGTTATCGACTATACAATATACACTGCTTAGCAAACATATTCATGGCGTTCTACTCTATGGCCTATTATTAGGTTTGACTACGACTCCCTTGAGTGTGCAATTGCATATAAACGTTATATGCCCGTGCAAGATATAAGTAACCAAGTCACGCTGGCGATTTCTTAGTAATATTTATATTTTGAGCCTTTATTTCATAATAGTTTTGTATTAAACATTTAGTCTAACTTTGAATATTCTTTATAATTTTATCTTAATTACCTTTCCAGGAATAAAAGTAATGAATTCATTTGATAATGTAACGTGCGGTTTGTATATTAATTTTAGAATGAATTTGAAATTAACTTTTAACTAAATACAGAGTCTTGTTGATAATTCAGTTAATTAATTCTGTTTGTAGATTTTTCAAAGGTAGGTAATTTATTACAATTTAATATTTTGTAGGGACCAATAAAATAATAGTACAATAATTTTATTACACGTTTTATGTCTAAATTACGCAAATTATAATATTAATGCAATTGTGCGTATTTACATATGTGTACATAAAATTAAAAATGCATAGGTAATTTATGTTGACTTCCTAATTAATAGTTTGTTATGTTAGTGTGTAGGATTTGTTACAGTTAATAATTAATTTAATAATTAGGTAGGTATAATAAAAGATTATACTTAATATACAATACCTTAACGGTGCAATTGTTTTTTTTAAATGTTTTAATCATAGTATTATTAATAATCATAAGTAACAATTAGGTTATAGTGGAAACGTTCTATGTAGTTAAAGAGAATACAACAAAATAATTGTTGCGTTAAGCTCTTGTTAGTTATTGTTTCGGCATTTCGTACAAACAAATAAGTCATTTTTTAAATATTTTTTGAGTTGCACGTATTTTATGGCGGTACTTAATACTTTTGACGAAGGCTGTATAGCTTATTTAAATGAAAACAAAACTGACACATCATTATATAAAATGTATATTTATTTTTTATTTATTTAATTATATTAATAGCTAAAATCATACTTTTGGTAATAGACAAGCTAAGAAAGAATTTAGTTACGAAAATTAATGAAGATTACACTGAGATGTAATAATGATCTCATAAAAGTGGCAAATGAATTTTATTTCCATAGCTGTAAGAATTTCTGGAAATGTAATCATCACGGTCCGTGGTCATGCGGCGCGCGTGCATAATTTAACTAATTGTTTAGCCTGGTTAGGCCAAATTTTATTATTATATGCGAATAAAATCGTATAAGAGAAATGTTTAGTGGAAAAAAGCATAGCTTAAACATATCATTATTACGTACAACAAAAATAACTATTAATACGTGATTTGTTTAAAAACTAGCGACTCAAGTATCCTATATGTTGACCAGGATAACCATCATCATCATATCAAATTTCATCAAAATCTGTCCAGTGGTTTTTTTGTGATACGGTCACAGATAGACAGACAGACAAAAAATTTACAAACTATACATAGATTCGGCTTCTGTATCGATAATAATGTCTATTTCAATAAGATTTTTCAGAAAATATTTAATGTTCAGATTCGTTTTACTTAGAATTTTATTATATACACATAGATAGATATATTTTGTATGATTGTTTGTCGTTCAATCAATTATCAAAGATAGTCATAACAAACTAATGATATGGAAATTCAAATTAAAGGCCCATTTAGTAATAAAATTAAATAATTTTCGTAAAATATATAACAGAGTTTGTTTAAGAGGATTGTGAAGTGCCGATACGCGGCGAGAGTAGGTATTTTTAAAAATGCTATCTGTTTCATACCGCTTTGCATCCCCCCGGCAGTGAACAACACAAATACAACATACGCAAATTCTCACACACACTATGATAGCAGCAGCCGGTGACGCGCGGGCGCTTGCGGGGGGCGGGGGCGGGGGCGGCGCGACTCGGCGCAAGAGCAATTTCAAAGTTTATCTAATATTTATTATTTTAACGGTTTGCGTACAATATACATTCCCTACAAGTTACATCGCACCTTTATTCATAAACTGAAATAACTCTAAATTACAATTCTGTGGCGAATATCATTTAAAATTTGACTTGTTTAGATTGATGACTTCAAAAAATCATAAAAAAATAAATAGGTGGTTTAGATCAATTACAAAAATCTCGTTCCAAAAGTTGAAAGTTATAGAATTTTTTGTTGTTTATGTAGGTACTAATAGACCCATCGGAATCCTTTTATTGTTAAAATAATTATTTTATTAAAAAACCTGAAGTTTTATGATTTTATAATGTTAGCAGGTATATAAGGAATAGAAATTCATAAAATGACCTGATCATGAATGATGATGATTTACGATTTTTAACATATCTATGACTAAATTTTATAAAATATATCAACTTAATTTTTTAAAATATATTTTTAACTAATGAATAAACAAGATTAGATTACGAATGATTTTCATTTCTTTCTGTAATTGCCCTAAAATCATTTTTTTCAGAAAAATCAATAAAATTAACTCCAAAAACTAATAAAATATCGATAATTTTCATAAAATTATAACGAATATTATAAATTATAACGAATATAGAATTAAAAATATAAATTTTACAAAAATAAAAGTATTTTTATTGCTCCTTCTAAACGGTAATAGTCCAGCAATTAGCAAAAGAAAGCGCGTGACCGGTGGTGGGCGAGGGGTGGAGGGCGAGGGGTGGAGGGGTGTAGGAAGTGGTCCTTACTCATTCAAACTTGGCCAGATATAATGATGATGATGATATAGAAAATATTTTTATTTTTGTATGAAACTGAAAATTTAAGAAATATTTTTTTTTTCTTGTTACAGAGGTTGTTGTTATGATGTAAATAGTATATTCCCAAAAGGTCTTCAGTAAATTAAAAATGACCCTGTATATATATATATATATAATTTTCATAAAATTATAACGAATATTATAAATTATAACGAATATAGAATTAAAAATATAAATTTTACAAAAATAAAAGTATTTTTATTGCTCCTTCTAAACGGTAATAGTCCAGCAATTAGCAAAAGAAAGCGCGTGACCGGTGGTGGGCGAGGGGTGGAGGGCGAGGGGTGGAGGGGTGTAGGAAGTGGTCCTTACTCATTCAAACTTGGCCAGATATAATGATGATGATGATATAGAAAATATTTTTATTTTTGTATGAAACTGAAAATTTAAGAAATATTTTTTTTCTTGTTACAGAGGTTGTTGTTATGATGTAAATAGTATATTCCCAAAAGGTCTTCAGTAAATTAAAAATGACCCTGTATATATATATATATATATATATTTATATATATATATATATATATATATATATATATATATATATATATATTTATATATATATATTTTCAGTTTTGTATTTTTTCTCAGAAATGAGATATTTTCCCGCGGTAATGCTATAATATGTTGATCCGGATAACCAGCTACCACCATACCAAATTTCATCAAAATCCCTCCAGTGGTTTTTCTGTGACGTGGTAACAGACAGACAGACATACAGACAGACAGACAAAAATTCAAAAAACTATAGATTCGGCCTCTGTATCGATAATAATGTTTATTTCAATAATATTTTCCAAAAAATATTTAATGTACAGATACGGCTTAGTTTCAATCTTACGAGTATAATAAAATTCTAAACTTTGGATTGAATCCTTTCAGTATCGATCGATATATCGATATTACCTTCCCTCCCTAGGAGATAATAATATCGATAGCACCTTCAACATCACTACAGTCTAAAATATGCCCCTGCCCCCGACCCGTATGGTGCGATAGAGAGAGTTGCAAGTCTTAGACTCAATTACCTACATTTCCTTTTTGAAATATTGTTTCGGGCGATAACGTTTTCACCCCCCTAAACATTAACGAAATGAGACGATTTTGGTCTCATTAGATTCAGTACACCTTAATCTAGGTCTGTACGTTTTCCTTTTTTTGTAATTCAGTTTAGTTTAATTTAAAAAAATAAAAACGCTGGAGGAAGTTTTTAGGTCAAAAATATAGATATTTAGATGCTAATAACTTCTGTCGTACGCAATATTTCAAAAAAATAAAAACGTACGGACCTAGATTTTGATTATATCTAAAACATTTCCAAAAATTATGAATATTAGACTATGTTTAAGGGGGGAAAAACGTTATCGCTTTTTGTATGAAAATTTACAGGTTCACAATCCTCTTAACAATACCGCAAAATCTTTCTCATAAAGATATTTCGCACTTGCCATGTTATTATTTAATACGCTACGAAATGTACATTTATGTATATACATAACTGCTTATTTTATGGGTCGTAGGTTCATTTTATTACTCAAATCGTTTTGTAAATATGTCAAATTTATATATTCTGAATATTTAATTTATATATAAAATATACAAACCAAATGACATAAAGCTATCTCATATTGCACTAAAATATAAAATAGGGACTGAATTTCTAGAAATCTTTAGGTAGAACCTAACAAAATGCTATTACTTAGGAATTGAAATTGTTAATCATTTCTAATATGAAACAGCTTAAGTGAATTACTCTTTGCTACCTGTCGATGTTAAGTAAAGTAGTGTAGTAATTAAAGAGAGAG